ATGCAGAAGAACAAACTAGATATCATAAGAGTATTAATTATAGTTTATTCAGTTTTTGATTAGCTTCGGATAAAGTTTACATGATGTATTCACATATAACCTTTTTAATTTATATGATGTATTCACATATAACCTTTATTGGTATTATAACATTTAAACTGAAACGTTTACAATAAATATCAATTCATGAAATTAACGTAAATGAAAATGTATTTTAGTTAAAGGCGAGTCTTGATGAAATAGCTCGAAACTTGTTCGGTACCCCAGTGAGTCTGAGGGCTTATAACGCTAAAAATTTGGTTTCGATATTTGTGATGGCAGAGCACAGATAGCCCATTGTGTAGCTTTGTGCTTAACAACAAACAAATTATTTGTTTGTTTAGAATAAATTTGATTAAGCCGGTAACAAATGCCTCGCAAGTCTTGTAATGAAAGACTCGCCTGTGAACAACTTCCCCTGGTTGGGGATTAACAGCCAGAATGCCGAAACATACTACATATACAAGGAAGAACTCGAACTCCATATCAAATCAAATTTATTATCTTACTTCAGCAAGTTGGCAATATAATTTTTAACTCTACTGGCATGCATAAGTTTCCTTAGCTTGATAGAGTGTTCTTTTTTTATAAACGTTAGGATAAATATGCTTTCTCTGAATTATTTCATATTTTGATACACAAGATTAAATGGCTAGGCGAAACGAAAGTAAAGGTTTCAAAAATCAATTCATCGTGGTCAACATAGAGCGTGATAAAATTTAACAATAGATTATTGATTAAAAAAGACTGAATGGTGTATAAAGTTAAACCAATTACGAGAAAGGCGTTATCAAGCGTTAAACAGCTGGTATATAGCACTGACCTGCACATTTAGAAAACGAATTAGCTTAAATGCCATGTACATTATTAGCACATAAGGAAATTCAATGGAGCACTAAATAGCACTGTCCTATAAGAAATTAATTAGTTAGGTAAAATACACAGTACTAGTACTTGAAGAAATTAAACAAAGCACTAAATAGCACTGCCGTATAACTGATTAATTAGCTTAGGTAACACGCACATTATTAGTATATGATGAAATTAAACATAGCACTAAATAGCACTGCCGTATAACTGATTAATTAGCTTAGGTAACACGCACATTATTAGTATATGATGAAATTAAACATAGCACTAAATAGCACTGCCGTATAACTGATTAATTAGCTTAGGTAACACGCACATTATTAGTATATGATGAAATTAAACATAGCACTA